TTATTTTAATAAATGTATTTACATTGTTTAGGTATATAGTAATATTAAAAAGATTGTTTTCATATAATTTTAATATATTTCTAATATTATATAATAAATGCCAAATTATAGTAAAACAATGTTATGTTTATGTATTATTAAAAAGTAGTTCTTAATTTTAGGTAGGTTTGCCCCGGGGCGCAAAAAATCTTAATCCGGCCCTGGCGTAGGCCGTAAAGAGAAAACAAATAATGCGCTGAAATCTGTATATTAAGTTAAATACTAGTTATATACTCCAGTTGATTGTGTTTACATCAAACATAAGTCCAGAATTAAGAAGTGAAAAATCAGAAAATTAATCACTAATTGAGTTGGCATTAAATATTTAAATTTTGACTCAGAAAAAGTCTGGTTATACAGCTTTTTGAAATAAAAATGTAACAAACAGTAATATTTTGAAAAACTTAATTAAATAAAAACTAATCTCTCTTTGTCATTTACATCATGATATATATGAGCATAGGTGTTTTCAATAGGAGAGGCAGGGTTTTTAGCTGCCTTTTTTGTGAGATTAGATACATGTAATGTTATATTTTAATATCTCTTGTGGAATAAATTCCATAAATATACTTTTTCTCGCCAGCACATCTAGAAGCACCTCTGCATATAATGAAATTACTTAGCAGGGTTAAGCCTAATATATTAGGTATATAATTTCTTGTGTGTTAACATATGCACATATATATGCAGTAGTCAGAAATGGCAAATAATGTAAAGAAACTTAAATATTGCTTCCTAGCAGATGGCAAATTTACGGGGAAGGGGATATGAGGGATAGATTCCATTGGTCTTCTATTTGCTCTTTATTTATAATATTATAATGTCAATGGTAAGTGAACTATCCCTTCCCTCGGGGAAAGTAAATGTTTGCTAACGTATATCCCTCCTTGAAGAAATCTTAAATACACTATGCTACGGCTTCCTAGAGTTCTGAAACATATTTATAGATCACTTTTATCGTACTGCGAACTTTCTAGACAAATATGAAAAAGCTAAAAGTTCTAATCCCACGTTATTACATGATTACACTGATGTTTATTATTTTTATTATAAAAATAAATATATTATACTGTTCTCCTTCAACATAAAATTACTGGTTTTAAGTAAGAATACAATTATTAGATATCAATATTATATTATGATCATACTTTGAACTTCACATGATGTGAAATCTAAATTATTGGATTTGACTTTATCAATCAGTTGCTGGCGAGCCAGTTGCGTTGCATACCGGCGTCCCATAAACTCACAAGAAAATACTTTACGCACATTTTCATTGGCTCTAAAATAAAATTTGGTAATATTTTATTATTTAATTTATAACCTTTACTATAATTTAAAAAATAAGTTATGTTGGTCATTTACGTTTTTAGTTCCTCAGATTCTTGATATTCTAATGGCGGTTTTGTCATGTCCAGTGGCTCCAAAGGTGACAAGTCACCAGATTTTTTTGGATCCCAGCAGGCGATTTTCTCTGGCCGGACCCATTTTATGTGTAAATCAGACTTAAGGCCCCTAGTTGATAGGATTACACCGTTTCCAGGGTGAATCAGTGAACGTAATGTAGTGAACATGACGGTACACGGAATAAAGCTAAATAATAAAAATGAATAATTATTATTTTCTCATAGGTACCTATCGACAAAATATAAATAAACATAAAATAACACTTAAGTACATATTCGATATTACATCCAAGAAAACGGCAAATTTCATTAAGCCATTGAAGACCTACTCTGTTATCTCTTATAATTTGTTGATAAATCGTTTCATATTAGAGGTTAAAAATTAACGAATGATAAGTAATAAGCATAGGCTCGAGCACAGAAAAAATATATAGGTTTTGTTTAAAATTTTAAATCGTTCGAATGTCGATTCTCGAACGTGGTAGTCACTAGTCAGTGTAGTTCGTAGTAAATTATTGACTATTGCCACTATTGTATAATATAATTTATAAACAATATTATAAATTTTTTGTAAACCGTATTGCCATTGCCTAGAATAGACTATAGAAATATTAGAAAGAATAATTTATATTTTATGGATTACAGTGCATTGGTACTTGTGACTCGTTTTCAGTTGTCAGCGTATAGTAGTAAGTTAATCTATTAGCTTTTTAGGCCCCTTAGCGGTCTTAACACAATCCTTAATGTTAAACTTATATGGTGGGACAGGTCATAGGGTTAAATAAATAAATAAATAAATGTATTATCTACCAACTATATTATGCCATTGTTCTAAGCGAATCATGATGAATACTAAATAGTAAACACTGATATAGCTAGCTTATGTGTCATAGTTAGATTTTCAGATTTTCAGAACATATAAATTTTAAGCCTACTCCTCAAAAACGAAAAAAGTAAACAAAACAAATCGTTAATATTCGAATCAGGAATTTTAAAAAATATCCACAAATGTTCGATAAAAAAGCTTGAATGATTTTAGTTTTAAAATTTAAGATTGTTCACGTGTTGTTATCTATCTAGTCAGAAAAAAAGCCAGGGTAAAAAAATCCACGGAAAAAAAAGCCAAGAAAAAAAATCCAGGGAAAAATAATCCAYAGAAAAAAATGCCACGGGAAAAATAAGCCACGGAAAAAAAGTCAAATTACAATAATTAAATATACCTATAACCATTAAAATTAAAGTATTCAATTAGGTATTATTTAAAAATTGTTTACACATTATTGACCAATTATATAAAAATAATTATAATTAAATATGTACACAAAAAATAAAATTTAAAGTATTATTCAAAATTTTTAAGCATTGGTCATATTGTGTACATAATACATTATACATTCATACAGAGCCGTATTTAGGGGGGAGCTACAGGGTACTGTTGCCCCGGGCGGCTGAGTAGGAGAGAGGGGGCTAATTTTTTTTWAATTTAAATTTGTATTTTGTATAATGATTAATGAGGCGTATTTTTTTGTTGCCCCTTGGTGTCAAATTCCTAAATACGGCCCTGCATTCATATATATAAAATTATTAATACACAAGTTATATGTTAATTAATTTAAAAATTTTTTAACATGGTTAATCATACTGTATTGTCAGTATTCATATATAAAAATAAAATTGTTAATATTATAATAAACATTGAATAAAAATAATATAATATTTTGTGGATATTATGTTGAAATCAATTGATTTATGTCTTACATCCTAGATATCAGTGGCGTAACCAGAACTTTTAATACCCGTGACAAAATAATCCAATCGGGCCCTTAGTTTTATAAATTTGGAAGAAGGAGATATGAGGAATAACCTACAAAAAATAACCACCTAAAAAATTCTACCCTTTAAGGTTAC